CACCCCCATCTCCACCACCTACTGCCGGATGAAGGTTGGCTGGCGAGGACTCCCTGGGGAGGGCGTTAGGGCACCTGGAGCAATCTCAGCCCTGCTGATCAGGTGGCCCCTGCCCTTCACAGGGCAGGCTGGAAATGACACTGGTGTTGGTGTCATGGGCTGGTGGCACAGCCAGAGATGAGGCATGGTCCCTGGGCAGGGGGCAGCCCTCTCTGAGGCGCTATTTCAGCATGTCCCCAGCTTAATGAGCTCAGCTTTGGTGGCTAAGCCACCGTGGGGAGAGCTGAGGGTCAGGGAGAGCAGGGTGGCCTTTCAAGACTGCTTTCAAATACCATCAAAAGGAGTCTGGAGATAAGGGCTAAGGCGAGGTGCTGCAGGAGAGCAGGAAAAACAGGGGCCTCAGGCAGTTGAAGTAAACAGCCAGTCCCTTGGTCGGCGTCACATGAAAGCACAGGGCCACCGGTCCTCTCAGCTCCTGACACTGGGGAGATAAGACTGGGAGGCAGCAGCAGCACAGGGAGCCAGGCCCCTGGCACCAGCAGTGACGGGGTGCCGGGGGCCCGGGGCGGGCTGGCAGCCCGCTCGCCTCCTGCTCAGCTGCTGTGGAGCCACCACGGAGTGGAAGATGCTGCCTGAACAAGTGGGGAAGATACGGAGGGGAAAGGATCTGGAGGGCTGGGAGCAGGAGTGGAGACACCTTAGCAGTGGTCCTGCTATGGGTACTTTGCTTGGCAGCATCCCGGTCCGGGCTGTGGCCTGGTGCTGTCCTGCTTCTGGCACCCCCAGCTCCTCTACGTCAGTGAAGATGAGCAGGGCGCTCCCAGGCGCTCTCAGTGCTGGGCCGTGCTTTTCTCGGGAAGTTTAGGAGAACACGGTCTGCTAGGGCCACCTGTTCCTCAGGGACAGGCATGGGACACGGCCTGTGATCCCACCAGCTGGCACAGGGTGCCCCACTAAAGAGATCTGCTGCCTTTGCAGGAGGAGCTGTCTGTGCTGCTCACTGATGTCCACCAGTGCAAGAAGAACCTGGATGAACAGTTCAGCAAGCTCATCAACAACAAAATACGCATCGCAGTGAGTGTTACACACCAAGGGAGTTCGCTTCCTGGGCTCCTTTTTTTGGCCACGCAGCTGCTGGGACAACCCCTGCTGCTGGGTCCCTTTGCCTCTCCTTTCCCCGAGGTAGCAGACATGGCTTGTCCTCCACTCTTTTCCCTGGGTTTGCTGTTCTCCATGAAAGTGAGGGACTAAACAGGGTCTGGTTTTGGGGTGATGCAGCACTCTGTGGTGGCCCAGCCCTGTTTTCGGAAGTGGTGACGCAGCCTTCCCTGGTGGCACTCAGCCCCCTGGCAGGAGTAGAGCTTAGAGCTGGTTTGACCGAATGTCCTTGGAGGTGCTGAGATAACAGGTAAAAAACACCCTGCTCAGGACCGGTTTCCCAGCTAGGGAGGGCAATGCTGACAGTTTCATATTGAGCTCATGCCTGGTTTAGCTGCATGTTGCCTTTCTCTGCTGTAGGCTCCTCCTAGGGACCTCCTGGCATCCTTCCTCAGGCTAAAACTTCCCAGCAGGGCTCATTGGAAGGCCTGAGGCCAAATGAAGCTGTAACTTCACTGTCTCCCCCTTGGTTCAGGCCACAGGTTGTTCCCTTGAAGCGCAGCAATCCAAGGGCTCTGTTGAAGCTGGGCTCTGATGAAGCTGGTTGACACACCAGGAAATCAAAACCTAGGGTGGGAGAGGTGTGAACCAGGGGTACTGTGGAGATAAGCCTCTGAGGACAGCAGGATGAAAGCATCTCTGCAGGCTTTCTGTGAAGGACTGCCCTGGAAAGCGGGTAGAGAGCAGCTTACAGGAACACATAGACTTTGCTGGTGCAATTTCTGAAACTAAAAAGCAGATGTAGGTGAAGGATCAAATTGGTCCAGCACAACTGCGTGCTCTCTCCCTGCAGAATGAGGCAGACGTCTTCAAGTGTGTGACCCGCAAGGAGTTCCAGGAGCTGCACAGGTTCATTGACGAGGAGAAGGCCACCTTCCTGGAGAGCGTCGAAGGGAAGGCAACCCAGCTCATCACCTCCATTGAGGCCCAGGTCAAGCAGACGTCAGATGCCCTGCAGAGGCTGAAGGAGATGGAGAGCTCGCTGGAGATGCTCAACAATGAAAGCCAACTTGATTTCATCCGGGTGAGCGTGCTCATCAGGGATCACCTGGCAAAGGTGGTGAGGGCCAGCCAGGCTCTGCAGCCTGCAACCCCACTGGGCACTTCCCTGGGCAGCAGGTATGACCATCCAGTGTAGTCTGGCACCCCAAAGAAGAGAAGCAGGTGCCCTCTGTCCAAACAGGGTCTTCTGTAGGTGGGAGAGACCTGTCCTGGAACATACCCCTCCACAAAGGATGGTGCCCTCAGTTCTCCCATGAAAGGGGACCACTGGCATCTCTGGCCCATGGAATGTGCAGAGCTGTGAGCAGGCAGAAGAGCTGCTGTTCTGGAAATTTCCCAGCATCAACTCTCTCTTTTCTTTTTCTTTTTTCCAGAAATACAGCTCCTCCCAGTTCAGGTGAGTGATGGCACCCAGCAGCAAAGAGTACCAATGGGGCAGCAATGCCTCTGCACTGGGCCTGGTGGGCCCAGGCCCGTGGTCAGCCCAGCACCGCTGGGACAGCCTGGCCAAGACGTGCTGCCCTGCTCATCCCTGCGGGCAGCAGGGCTGAGGTAGAGCGTGTCAGAGCCAGGGCTGGGCCCATGCCTGCAGCCCCAGAGGAAGCTAAGAGCAGCTGGGGAGGTAACAGTGGCACCATCCTACACAGCAGCCAGGTGAGAAAAGGTCACACGCCATCCTTGTCACCTGTGTCATAGCTGCCCATGTCGTTGTAGGTCAGCGCTTCCCAGCCTGCAGCTGGGAGAAGGCATCTTCAGCCCTGTTTCCTTCAAGCCGTGTTTCCATCAAGATGACATCAAGATGACTGTGTGGAAGCGCCTGCACCGCCGCGTGCTGCCAGGTACCGACCTGCCCCGGTGTCACCCCAGGAGGTGGTGTTGGGGTGATTGCCCCAGCCTGGTCTGCTGGTGGGAGCTGCTGGGACAGGCTGCTCCGCTGCCCCCAGCTCTGTCCCGCTCTCTGGATGTGGCTGG